ATGTTTAAGGCTGAAATAATTAAGTAGCACAAGAAGCAACTTGTAGGGTACCGAGACTATACATGACAAAATAAAGTGAAATGAAAATGAAACAAAATAAACAAGCAAATGCTAATATCTCATCAAAAGATAAAGCAGTGCACTTGAAAAAAAAAAAGAAAATCATGCTATAAAAAATATCAAAAATGCTGAGACTGAAAATGAGCTCTCAGGAATTAAAACTATGTCAGCAGAGGGCTGATAGAAGCTGGGGGACATTTCCCGTAAGAGCCGAAAATACAGAAAAAGAGGAGGGAGAAATGATAACTGTTTCAGGAGTTCCAAAGAATACAAGTTTCAGAAATAATAGAGGGAGCAGAGGGGAGAATGTCATCAAGAAACATTTCCACACATTTCCTGAACCTGACAGATCTATGCCTTTCAAGAAAAAAGAAAAAAGCTTTCTAGTAAACCAACACAATGAAGGAAAATAGATTTACGCCAAGTTATATCATTGTGACATTTTTACAACCTGAAAACCCAGAGAAATTTGCAAGTTACAAGAAGAAAAAACAAAAATAAAACTGCATTTCATAGGAGCAAGAATTGGAAAGCCATTTGCCTTTTTGTGTTGAGTGAAATGAGAAGTCTCATTTCCAACCTAGAATCTCATCTATTGACAAACTATTAATGAAGGGGTGAGGGTGCAAATACAGGCATTTTCAGACATACAAGGCCTCACAAATGTACGACTTCATAAGAAGTTATTGAAGGAATTAGCCAACAAATGAATTTAATCTAAGGAAAGGGAAAACATAGGATCAGGAAACAGACGATTCAATATAGGGAGAGGCGAGAGAACGAATCTCTAAATTGACTGTGAGGGGAAGGCTCTCATGATAATAACTGAACAGCAGGTTTAGTGGGTATTTGCTCCAAGTTAGAGGGGACCAGGAAGGACCAGAAAAGACTTCTTTTTAAAAAGATGGAACTGCTAGAAATCCTAATGCAACTGGACTTATCTGGAGAAGGAGCAATGAGGGAGTAATGGGTAACCTGTTGCATTGCTAACCAAAAGTTTGACAGTTCAAATTCATCAGCTGCTTTAGGGAGTAGAGACGAACGTTCTACTCCTGTTAAGTTTTACAGCCTCAGAAACACAGTGGAAGTTTGCTACAAATTGGAACTGCCTTCATGGCAGCAGTTTTATTTTTATTTGGTTTTTCTTTTATATTGGTTTGCATACAAAGTTTGTATACATTGTGTATCACACTATCTGTCATTCACATTGTGTTTCAAACAATCATTACCATTCATTGTGTTTTATAAACTTAATCCCCATGGAACTACGACCACCATTACCCATCTTTACAGGTCCCCATCAGATCTTTTCTATTTCCTTTACAGCCCCCCTCCACCCACCAAATTGTGAGACCCTGTGATTTCCTGCCCATCTTTATCCTTCTGCTCTCACCCTTTCCCCCCCTTGGATCTCCATACACATTTCACTAGTTATCCTTCTATTTTTACAATAATGTTCTTATGTAATATTTGTCCAAATGAGACTGAGTTCATTCATTCAGCATAATGCCCTTCAGTCTCGCCAAAGTTATGCAGTAATTTTTTAAATCACTACTCCTGCGTGCTACATAGTATTCCGTCGTGTGGATGCACCCTGATTTCTCAATACATTCCATTGTGGTTGGACATTTGGTCTGTTTCCATATTCTTGCAATGGTGAATAACGCTGCTCTGAGCATTGGTGTACAAGTCTCCCTTTATAAATCAGTTCTAATTTCCTTGGGGTACATTCCAAGCAGTGGAATAGCTGAGTCATATTGACAGTGATTTTAGATAGAGAAGATTTGCACTGTAAAATATTTAAATTGATTAAGTAATAGTAAACTGCCATTAGGTTAGTTCTCACTTATTGTGACTATTATCAGACTTCTGAAGCTGTAAATCTATACAGGATAAATTGCCCATTGATGGAGGGGCTGGTACTCTTGGACCACCGGCCTTAGCTGCCCCCCCACCAATGCACTATGGTATCAGCACCCCTCAATTTAGTATTTTCATATTGTTGTTGTTGTTGTTGTTGTGTGCCTTTGAGTCAGAACTGACCCATAGCTGACCCTCCAGTGGGTTTTCAAAGGCAGTAAATCACCCATGAAGAGATTGCCTAAACTTTTCTCACAGAGGAGCTGGTGGATTTGAACTTTGTGCCTTTGAGATTGCAGTGCAGCTTCTTACTGCTAGGCCACCAGAGATCCATATATAAAAAATTAGGCAAATCTTAAAAATTTACTAACTTTTGTATGAAATAGTTTCAAGAACAAGAATATCATGCATAGTTCAACTACAAATAAATTTATAAAGCTATAATGGCACGTAAAGGATACTGACGGCACAATTGTTAAAGCTATCAATGCCAACCAAAATATTGGCAGTTGGAATCCACCAGTGAAGCTTAAAGAAAATACGTGGTCATCTGCTTCTGTAAAGATTATTTTCTTGAGAGCCCTATGAGATGGTTCTACTCTATACCGTAGCGTTACTATGAATCGAGTCCCTGAACTCAGTGGGTTTTGGTTAGTGATAAATGAATCACTAATCTAATTGTTGTTGTTGTTGTTATGTACCATCAAGTCACCTGTGACTCACAGTGACTCTGTTACAATAGCTCTGAAGCCTGCCCTGTCCTGAGCCAGTCTCACTGACTCTGACCCTCCTACTTCCATTGCCCCAGTTACTTGTCGATCCATCTCATCAGGTCTTCCTCTCCTGATCTGTCCCTTCACCCTTCCAAGCATGATGACCTTCTCCAAGTACTGATCCTTTCTGGCCAGATGCCCAAAGTATGTGAAATAGAGCTTCAAAATCCTTAGCTCCATAGAGCAACTTGGGTTCATCCTCTCCAGCACAGACTTACTTGTTCTCTTGGCGGTCCATGATATGTGCAATACTCTTCTCAAGCACCACAACTCAAAGGCATCGATTCTTCTTCTATCATCCTTCATTATTGTCCAGCTCTCTGATGCATAGCAGGTAATTGTGAAGACCATGTATCAGGCACACCTTACTCTTTAGACTGACATCATTACTCTTTAGCACTTTGTAGAAGTCTCTGACAGCACTCTTCCACAATGGAATTCATCTTTTGATTTCCTGACTGCTGGTGTCAAGAGTATTGCTTGTGGAGCTGAGTATGCTGAAATTGTTAATAACCTCAATCTCTTCTCCATCTATCATGGTGCTGCCAACTGGCTCAGTGGTGAGAATCTTGTTTTCTTGATGTTAGACATCAATTCATATTGAAGACTACAGTCCCTTGACCCTCTGCAGAAAATGCCTCAGGTCCTCCTTGATTTCAGCAAGTAAGTTTGTGTTATCTGAATAACACAGGTTACTGATGAGTCTTCCTCCAATCTTGATACCACATTCTTCCTCATAAAGCCCAGCCTCTCTAATGATCTGTTAGAAATGCAATTATACTGGGAGAGTAGGGGAATAAGAGGCAGGAATTGGTGGAGGAGAAAGAATTTTGGGGTCTGAAAGCAAACTATTTTCCATTATAGGAAGACAATAAAAAAATTCAAAACTGAAAAGAAGCAGCTCATTATTTTGAAATGTAGAAGCAAATGTCTATAGTTGATAAAAAATAGAAATAAGAATTGAAGTGGGTGCTTCTGAGGAGTATAAAAAAGTAAGTGTAGGTTCAACATTTTCATATGACTTTCAGAAATATTTGAGGGTTTTAGTTACTTTTCAGTACTATTTCAATGCTGATAAAAAATTCCTGAAATATGAATTAATGGCCAAAACCCCGAGTAATTCCATGCTTGATGTATCATACAAAAACTTGAATGCAAGAACTCAAACAGAAAGTTTTATACCATTGTTCACTGAAACAGTATTCACAATAGGCAAGCAACAGAAACAATTCGAGTATCCATCAACACATGAATATGTAAGCAAATGGGATATGTACGTATGATGGAATATCATATCGCTGTGAAGGAAAATGAATTCCTCATACAAGCTACAACATGAATGAGCTTTGAAAAACATTATGCTGAGTGCAAAAAGTCAGACATAAAAGGACAGAGACTGCATGATTCTGTTTGTGTAAAACAACTAGAATAGGCAAATGTATAGAGACAACAGCTTGTTGGAGTTATTACTGAAAGGAAACTGCATCTCTGTTTGAGTAACAAAAAAATTTTGGAAATAGTGGTGATGGTTGCATAATTGTAAATGTAATTCATGCCCTGAATTATACACTTAAAACTATTAAAGTGGGAAAATATTTGTTAAAAATATTTTGCCATACTATTATTTTATTTTATTTTATTTTATACAAGCAACGATTTATTCCATTGCAAATACCTTTTTTCTCTTCTTTCCCCCTTTATTATTATTATTACTTTTAATGAAAATGTACAGATTTTTTATTTCCATTCATTCATTGTTGTACTTTCCTCCCTGCCCACCCCTCCCCTCAATTCACTCTTCTCTTTGAAAAGTAAAAGAAACATTAAAATGGATTAATTAAATACACCTTTGTGAATAGAGGCACGTGATCATTTCCTACTAGAAAGCCTGGAAGGGGCAATGACCACAGAAGAGATGGGTGAAGGTTTTAGTAGGTGGTTAAGACAAGAAGGGATAAGCACCGGGCCAGAAAAGAGGTTACATAAGTAGCATGAGACAAGGTCATAAAGTACGTTGAATTCCAAACTTAAAGCTAACTGAATTTTACTGTGTGTAGCACATGTCATTTTTAAGGAAATGCTTGGCCTCATATTACCTTATATTTTGCAAGAAGACATATACTGGAGAGAGGATATTAAACACCAGGAGTGCAGTAGAAGGGATAGCCATAAATATATCCCAGGAGAAAAATCATTTGTGCTCAAAGGTGAATAGTGATGATGGGGAGAAGCCATGAAATGAAGGCATTGTTGTTTTGCTGTGGGGTTGTGTAGATCTTTTTCTCATTTTGTTTTTCTTTACTTCAGATAATGGAGCGAGCTCTATTCCACATGGACAACAGCTATAAGATCCCCAATATCCGGGGTACTGGGAGACTGTGCAAGACTAACCTGCCCTCCAACACGGCCTTCCGGGGCTTTGGGGGTCCCCAGGGGATGCTCATTGCTGAGTACTGGATGAGCGAAGTCGCGGTGACCTGTGGGCTGCCTGCAGAGGAAGTAAGCTGAGGGTTGGATGGCTTGAGTGGATGAGCCTCCACTGGGGAGAATAACTTTGTGTCTTGGACAGCTTCTGTGGGAGAAGTGATAGAAGTATTATTAAAGGGGATAGGAACATAATTTAGGTTGCATCTTCCCTAAACCCTTGTCGCCAACAAGATCTTCACGTCTCTCTCTTTGGTAAGGTGCGAAGGAAGAACATGTACAAAGAAGGAGACCTGACACACTTCAACCAGAAGCTTGAGGGATTCACCCTGCCCAGGTGCTGGGATGAATGCTTGGAAAGGTCTCAGTACCAAAAACGCAGGGAAGAGGTTGAAAAGTTCAACAAGTAAGTCCTGAAAAGGAAGGGGAGGAACCCAATGTTCTGGGCTCACTTGGGTTTCATATGCCACAGCTTTTTTTGCTGGATGTAAAGTAGGATGTTGCATGGAGGGACCAGTCCTTGGAAAGGGACATCATGCTTGGGAGGGTGGAGGGACAGCACAGGAGGGGAAGATCCTTGAGGAGATGGATTGATTCAGTGACTGGTATAGTGGGGTAGGTGTGTCAGAGACAAGGTTGACTCAGGGTAGAGCAGAGTTCAGGGCTATTGTACACAGGGTCACTATGAGTCGCAGGTAACTTGACAACAACAGTAACAAAGTAGGAAACAAATAATTTATTAGAGAAATTATGAAGACACTGAGTTTTTCAACTCAGAGCAATCTCTTGAAGATCTTATAATAATTTTTTTAGCCCACGTCAAGTGTGCTCAGATTCTATCAATCGTTGCTCATCTTTATAGATTCTCGTGTCTCCTGGGGATGGGCATCGCCACATTACAACGAGAACTGTCCCAGGACTAAACAAAACACAGTTTTAAGCCTAGTTCTGCTGCTGATCTATAACCTTGGCCTTGGCAATTCTTCCTTCTCCCTGGGATGTAGTTTCATGGGGCAGCAAAATGGAGATAATGATACTGATTCGTCTTCCTCACAGAGTTACTCTGATCAGCAAGTATAAAGGCCAGGGAAGATACCAGTAGCAGCAAGGTTACAATTCCTCCCTGGGATGATGATAACTCAGACCATCAAGGTTCTCTGACCCAAGACGAATTCCACTCCAGAAAGGGAGGGACCACATTTTACAGGACTCACACTCAGTCTCTACTTTAGCACACTGGACAGCCCACAATCCAAGTCCACACTTTTCTTATTTTTGCCCCCCTCCTAATTTGAGCTCGCCTTATTTGTCAACAAGTCTATACAGTTTGCTCCAAAGATTCGCTATTTCAACTTGATGCAAAGACGTTGATCAAGAAATATGTCCAATCTGATACAAACATGGCAGACAAAGTCCTATGAGCATCTCCTTTTTTTCTCCAGAGAGAATTACTGGAAAAAGAGAGGATTGTGCATCATTCCTACCAAGTTTGGAATAAGCTTCACATTATCTTTCCTGAATCAGGTAATTGCCTTAAAATTATCCTCTTAATAAATTGTGTGGATCTCACAGGACTGAGGCCCATCTTTCCCTTGTGTAAAATATTTAAAGGGAAATCCCATTGCCACTGGTAACAACATTGGCAAAGAAGTTCCTTGCATTTAAATGAAAGTTGAACTATTACATATATGAGCAGCCTGGAACTTAGAGATCTGGATTAACCTCTAGCTTGTCCTTCTTTGAATAGGACTATGGATAACTACTCTTCTTTCTGATCCTGTTTCTTCACCTTGAGAAGGAAGACAGACATGTGTAATCTATTTCTCTCTGAGGATAAAAGACAGAAAGAAAGATATGAAAGCATTTTGCAAATTAGAATTTAAATAATAAGATTTAAATTAAATCACAAGATTTCTATTGCTAAGTTAAACTAAGGACTCGTTGTCTGACTTTTCTTCCCTTAGGCGGGGGCCCTGGTGCACGTGTACACAGATGGTTCTGTGCTGCTGACTCATGGAGGCACTGAAATGGGCCAAGGCCTTCATACCAAGATGGTCCAGGTGAGCAGAAAGAACTCAAGGTGGTAGGGAGGTTTCCAGGGACTCGGAGAGCCGTCTCTGATAATGTGGTTTCTGCTATGAACACCTGAGCAGAGGGGCTATCCTGGAAACAGATAAGGGCTGAGCTCTCATCATGCGTGGCTTAGGGTGTGTCTCCTCCTCCTCGTGTTTCCTCACCTGTGCATGGAGGTGGAGCAGATGATGTCTGAGGTCCCTTCTGTTACCAGCACTCTGGGGCTCTAGGCATCTGTGCTCACTGTGCATAATGTCTATTTATCAAGTTAGCTAGTTCACCACTCACTATGAAACATCTTATATTGGAGCGTGGGTATTGGTGAAAAACATATATTGATGCATCTATTTGGCTTGTAGATATTAACTCAATTGAATACTAAAAGAACTATACATAGTTTGCTTTAAAAAAAGCACTGTTCGTTTATGAACAGTAGGCTTATGAAATTTTTTCTAAGTTTAATGAAACTTCATAAAGTGTTACTTAAAATTCAGTCAGTTGTGAGACCATCCTAGAGCTGATGGGTTACAAATTCAATCCAGGGCCACTGAGTTGATTCCAACTCCTGGTAACCTCTATCAGGTTCCCAGGGCTCTACATCGTAATAGGAGGAAACTTCCCATCTTTCTTTATCAAAGCAACTTGTTGATTTCAACCATTGACCTTTATACTCTTTGACAGGATGATATTGTTATTATTAAGTGCCATCGACTCATAGCGACCCTATGAACAAAAGACCTGAACATTTGTATAACTTTCATAATTTCTCTAAGTTCATAGAGTTTCCAGAGGCAAGATATTTTGGAAGTGGATGCCACTCCTGCTTTCAAGCTTGTTTTAATCACAGAGCTCCACCAAACACTGTCCACCATGTGTAACCATTATCGCATTTGGCACATGAGTGTCACAGTGTCTAGCATCACAGCAACTACGAGTTATTGTTTTCTTTCTTGAGATAGTGAACCTGAATGCTGTGTTTGGTAGAAGAGAGCCAAGTGCCGGCATGAGCTCTTCCCTAGAGGATGACGTGTTCTCTTTTGGCAGGTGGCCAGCAGAGCTCTGAAAATACCCACCTCTAAGATTTACATCAGCGAGACAAGCACTAACACCGTGCCAAACACCTCCCCGACAGCTGCCTCTGCCAGTGCCGACCTCAATGGACAGGCTGTCTATGTAAGGAGCTTTTGGGAGCCACAGAGCTGAGGGCCAACCAGAGATGTGGGCGGGAAGTGTCCCCCAGCCAAGGGCTGAAATGGTCCTTGTAGGCTATCTGGCTATGGCCATGCTTTGGACTCTTATCTGTTCTTCAAAGTCTAAGCTCAAAGAGAGATTCAATAATTATAAAAACCTCCTTGAAAGCTAGAATACTCAGTGTAGAAGGAGGAAAGAGAAGGCTGGGGTGTTTGAGGGGAAGTGGGGGCTTTTGAAATGATATGCTCTTAGTGCTAAAACTGATCACAAGAAAATGAGCTGAGATTGAAACCTGATGGTAGAGTTGGCTGGATCGGATCTATTTCCTTCTCCTCACACTTGTGGGGATGCAATCAGATATGTTGTTGTTGTTGTGTGTGGTTGAGTCATTTGCAACTCATAGAGACCCTATGTACAACAGCCCTAAACCCTGCTCTATCCTGTGCCAATCTCATTGCCCCTGATACACCCATCCCGATTACCCCAGTCACTGAATCAATCCACCTCATAAAGGGTCTTCCCCTCCTGTGCTGTCCCTCCACCCTCCCAAGCATTGATGTCCCTCTCCAAGGACCTGTTCCTCCTTGCAACATGCCCAAAGTCCATCAGATGAAGCCCCAGAATCCTTGCCTCTAAGGAGTAGCCTGGTTTAACCCTCTCTAGGATGAATCTGTTTGTTTTCTTGGCAGTCCATGGTACATTCAATACTCTTCTCCAGCACCACAGCTCAAAGGCATCAATTCTCCTTCTACCCTCCCTAGTCATTGTCCAACTCTCTGATGCATAACAAGTGATTGCAAACACCATGGCCTGTATCAGGCACACCTTAGTCTCCAGAGAGACACCGTTGCTCTTGAGTACTTTAGAGAGGTCCCTAACAGCAGACATAGAAGTTTGATAAAAGAAGGCTCCTTTCTGTGGTCCCTGAAACATTTTGTCCTTTGTCAGTCTGTGAACTGGTTCAGGAAGTTTCTCCAACAAGGTGTAGTAATGCCCCCTTTGACAGAGCCCCGTAGCTTCCCTTCTTATCTCAGCATTCCTGGGAGGGTAGCACAGAGTTTTGAGTTACACAAAGGCACCGCACAGCTTGGAGGACCTTAGCTAAGACTTTAGGACTTTATCTAAGCCTTTGGGTTTTTTCCTGAGTCACAGAAAACAGAGGGCTGATGTGTCTGGTGTGTGGTGGATGTTCTCTTTAGAAAGCTTGCCAGACCATCCTGGAAAGGCTGGAACCCTTCAAGAAGCAGAAACCTAATGGCTCCTGGGAAGATTGGGTAAGTCTGAGCTGACCCAACTAATTTTTCCTGGTTGTTGTTTCACATAAGAACAAAAATCACGGCAGGGCATCTGTCCCTATTCAGATCTAGACACCTAGGCAAAGAGAAATTGAGATCTGTGGTAGTGAATTTGGGACATGATGAAGTGGGTGATTTCACAAGGCAGAGAGAAGATCAGGGAATTTAGGAATTCTCATGGCCTTGTGGTAAGAAGCTAAGCTGCAATCCCAAAGGCACACAGTTCGAATCCATTGGCTACTTTTAAGGAGAAGGGTGGACAGTCAGTCTCCTCCCATGTAATTTACTGTCTCTGAAAACCCGCTGGAGGGTCAGCTGTAAGTCAGTTCTGACTCAATGCCACACAAAAACAAATATATAGGCATTTACTCTGAAAGCTACAGGAAGTCATCAAATTACTGGAGTAGGGAAGTGTGCTAAGAGCATCACTCTGGCTGCAGGGTGTAGGCTGGGTTACATTATGGGTTGGGGACTACTTGTTAAGAGATACTGTAGAACTCTCGGGTTCAGATGATGAGGGCCTCCTGCAGGTGCTGGTGATGAAGATGGGGTGTAAAACATGTAAGCATGAGTCCTTAGAAAGAGTTGACCCACATCTAGATTAGGAGGATGGACTCATGAAAGCTTATAGTGATAGGCTGTTGTTATCCAAAAATCAAACTCTATGGTGGCCATTTCGTCTTCTTCAGGTCACAGATGCCTACACGAATGCAGTGAGCTTGTCTGCTACTGGATTTTATAAGTAAGTGTAGTCCTGTTCTTGGCATCTCATGTAGAGGCATGGCAAGTACGTTCTCACCTTGGTCTTCAATCAGAGAGACGAGTTCCATCCAAACTCTTATCTCTTCAATGGGATGCCACCAATTTCCGTTTAATGTTGCTTTAAAATACAAGGGATTATTAACGTACAACATTTTCTTTCTTCTCAGAACGCCTGACCTTGGCTATAGCTTTGAGACAAACTCGGGGAAACCCTTTCACTACTTTAGTTATGGGGTGGCTTGTTCTGAAGTGGAAATTGACTGCCTAACAGGGGATCACAAGGTAAGGAGTTGGCAAAATCTTAGTATTAAGGGTGTAGGGTAAGAGCAAAGAAACAATTAACTGTAAAGGTAAGAGATGATAGAGATAAATGTTCTATTTGGGCAAAGAATAGTTTACATCAGCAGTTGGCAAATTCTTCCAATTAAAGGTAAGATGTTAAGTATTTTTCTTTTTGTGGACCTTAAGATTTTTATCTCACCTACTTAATTCTATTGTTATTCATGAAAGCAGCTGTAGATAGTACATACGCAAATAAATATGATTGTACTGTTGTTGTTGTTTGCTGTTGAGTTGAGCATGACTCATAACAACCCTGTAAACAAAAGGCCTGAAGTTTTTCTATAACAATCATCATTTATCAAAGTTCATAGTGTTTCCAAAGGCATATTGTTTAGGAAGTGGATACAGCCCCGGCTTCCAAAATGACTGAACTATAATGCTTGCTGCAGAGGGTCAAGGACTGCAGCCTTCAGTATGGATTGAGGCTCAATGTCAAGAAGACAAAGATTCTCACCACTGGACCAATTGGCAGCATCAGGATGGATTGTGAAGAGATTGAGATTGTTCACAACTTTAGTTTGCTTGGCTCCATCCGTGGTCAACACTCTTGGCACCAGTAGTCAGGAAATTAAAAAACGTAGTGCCATGGGAAAGTCTGCTATTAGGGACCTCTCCAAAGTACTGAAGAGCAATGGTGTCACTCTGGAGACTAAGGTGCATCTGATACAGGCTTTGGTCTTTGCAATCACTTATTATGCACCAGGGAGTTGGACAATGACTAGGGAGGATAGAAGGAGAATTGATGTCTTTGAGCTGTGGTGCTGGAGAAGAGTATTGAGAATACTATGGACTGCTAGGAAAACAAACAGATTCATCCTGGAGAGGGTTAACCGGGTGGCTCCTTGGAGGCAAGGATTCTGGGGCTTCGTCTGACATACTTTGGACATGTTGCAAAGAGGGACAGGTCCTTGGAGAAGGACATCATTCTTGAGAGGGTGGAGGGACGGCGCAAGAGGGGAAGACCCTCTATGAGGTGGATTGATTCAGTGACTGGGGGAATCAGGGAAGGTGTGTCAGAGACAGTGTGATTGGCACAGGATAGAGCAGGGTTTAGGGATGTTGTACACAGGGTCACTATGAGTTGCAAGCTACCCAATGGCACATAACAACAATAAAATATGATTTATGGATCTTTGAATTGCGAGGTTGGAGTGAAATACTGAATGTCCCCTGGGCAGCTAAAAGAACAAGTCAGTCTGTCAGTCTCTCTGTCTGTCTTGGAGGAAGTGCAAAAAGATGCTCGTTAGAGGCAAGGATGTTGAAATTGCATCTCACAAACTCTGCACATGCTGCCTAGGGGGGGCATTTCTTGGGGGAACACTTCAGGCTTGGAGAGGTGAAGGGTCAGGGAGTGACACAGTGGCTGTAACAGTGGCCTGAGCACATCAGAGATGATGAGGACAGGACAGGATAGACCAAGGTTCAGATCTGCTGTTCACCGGGTCACCATGAGTCATAATCAGCTCCATGGCACCTAATAACATCAACAAAACATGAATTTCAGAGAATTTCCATGTGGCATGGAATGTAATGTTCTTTTCATTCCCCGCCCCCAGCCCCCCAATCATTTAATAATGTAAAAACCATAATTTGCTCACTCAGGTCATTGGCATCAAGTCAATTCTGACTCATAAAAATCCTGTTGGCCGAGCGGAGCAGCTCACAGAGCTCCCAAGGATGCAAACTGCCACGTCTTTCTCCTATGGAGCAGATGATAAGTTCAAACTGCTGATGTTATGGTTAGCTGTCATGTGTCTAACCACTGCACCACCAGGGCTTCCTTTATAAACTCCCCAGGTCTTATGAAACAAGCAGCTGGCAGGCTGTGACCCAGGAGCCATCACTTAATAACCCTTTCCTCGCCTGGGCCTGAAGCCCGCGTCCCAGGGACCTACCATTACTATTCACATGTGAATGTGGGCAGCTCTTTCCCGTTTCTGAGGAAGCACTGCTGCTCCCCTTCCCCTCCCTGGCTGCTCAAAGTGACATTCGTCTGTGATGATGGCAGGGGACACTTGGTGGGACATCAGCTGCTGGCCTAGTGTGCTCCAAGCACCGGTGTGAAAGGACAGTTTGGGTTGGCGCGTATAGTCTAAGGGTCACCAATACCCATATGTCATCACAAACATTGTCTTTTCAAATTTTAGAACCTTCATACAGACATCGTCATGGATGTGGGCTCCAGTCTCAACCCGGCCATTGATATTGGACAGGTAAGGCTCACGGGGGGCCTGGGTGTTGCTGGAACTGACCACTGCTGTGCCCTGTCCCCCTCCAGGATCACTAGGTAGGGCCTATTGTCCAACAGAGTGGTGAGTTTGCCTGGACGTGGTACCAAATGAGTCTCTCACAGAGAGTGATGTAGATGGATGAGCCTGCCCAGCTCTTGAGGCAGGAGACAAATTAATATGGATTAACTTGCAAAGGGCACTCACAGCTCTGAGGACAACATGATGAATGGTGGAAGCATTGTGTGCCTGTGTGTGTGCGCGCACGCACACACACACACACACACACACACTTTTTCTCTATCTCTTACACACACACACACACTCTCTCTCTCTCACACACACACACTTTCTCTCTCTCTCTCTCTCTCTCTCTCTCACACACACACACACACACACACACACACTTCAAGAGTGAGCAAACAAAAAAAAAAAGAGTGAGCAAACTGCGGAATGGAGACTGAGTGTGGGATCTGTGCCCAGGTAGTTAGGTGTGAGGTCAGAAGAGTATTCTGCCCCTTTCCTTTTGCATACAGGGTCTCTCTTGTACCCTAGGAAGTACTATGAACAATGTCACTGCAAAGGCATAGGGGGTGAGGGAGACGTGGCAGAGTGAGAGGAATGAAGCCATGAGAGAAATAAAATACCCTTTGGAAAGTAGGAGAACTTTGAGCCTATTCCATAAGAACAGCAGCTGGAGGAATGCAGACTTGAAGAACTGAACATTTGATAGGAAATGTAGACTATGTTTCTCAAAAACGTTCAATTACGACTGCACGAGAAGTGCAGTCATTCATTAATCTGTTTATTAATTCCCTAAACAATCATTTGTGGGTTTTTCTGGGTAAGTCCCATCGGGATAGGCAGCCTTGACGCTAGACAGTGAGGATTCCGAGATGATTAACCCATGATCTCTCATAAATGCATCGTTCTGATACTGAAGTTCCACTTTGTCCTCTGAGCAGTGGGTCAGGTGAGCAGACGTGAGGACTCGTACTGCTGCAGGCACGTAGACATCCATAAAGCACCCTAAGGCCCTCTTTCTGCTAGAGGAAAGGTAGAGGGGGGAGTTCACAGTTGTATGAAGAAAGGCTCAAAGGCATTTCTCCTGCCTTGGGGGCCTCTGAAATTCTGAGACATCAGCAGGGAACAGTAGGGCATGTGCCCCTCCTCCCCCGCCACCGTAGGGAGCAGTGTGAGCTCCCTTTTCAAATGTGGGCTGCCCCAGGGACAAATGAAGAATGTCTCCATCTGCGCTGCAACAAGTGGTAGTGCGAAGCCCTGCGCACTACTATTTCAGACCTCTTTCTGGGATCTCTGACTAATTCTGAACCTGGCCTCTGGAGTTGATGTTTTAACTGTGAGTCCAGAGCTGGGTACGAGCAGAGACAGGAGGCCAGGGAGCATTAGAGGACTTTTCACTTCTTTCTAGATCCCTCCCCAGAAGTGGGGCTTTGTACCATCCATAGAAACAAAAGGATCCTTGGGGAGTGGGGAAGAAGGGCCAACAGGGTCTCCATCTGTTCTGCAGGTAGAAGGAGGGTTTGTACAAGGCCTGGGCCTCTTCACACTGGAGGAGCTGCACTACTCCCCGGAGGGCAGCCTGCACACCCGGGGCCCCAGCACCTACAAGATCCCCTCATTTGGCAGCATCCCTGTTGAGTTCCGGGTGACCCTCCTCCGTGACGCCCCCAATAAGAAGGCCATCTATGCATCCAAGGTACTGTGGCTCTGTATCCGTGCTGCCCTACAATCTGCTCTGGGGGAGGCCCTGTAGGGACCAGGGGCCACTCACCACTGAGGTCTACCAGGGGTTCTCTTGAATAGAACATAAAGTTCAAGACTGGTTTTGGTGCAGGTGATGAGGGAGCGCCCAGTTCTGCCTTAAGAACCAGCTGAATTGCATTGAGGCCACCGTCTTTGTGAAACAGACTCCTCCGGGTGAACTCAGATTCCCAAGTCAAATCCTGACGGTTAAATTAAATTCTAGTCTCCACCCAAATCCTCCTTAATACTTGACCCTGAGAGACGATTTGACTGATATGTTTTTTCTGTGGTCCCTCAATGATCAGTGTACTGCCTTCACTGCGGATGGGGTCATCCCTTCAATATACGTCCATTCACCTCCTTCAGTTGCCTGGATCTGATCTTAACACTTGATTTAGCACACCTGAAGGATTATGGAAACATGGTTGAAAGTGAACCCAACCGATTGGCAGGGCTGAAGGCCTAAGGAAGATGATGAATAACACTGCAATCAGCTAAATGCATGCATTTGCTCTTCTCCTAATTTGCTCTGTGGAGTCTGGAATATGTTGTGATCCACTTGCAAATTCCCAGGATTCATGATAAAATGCAGCTCCGTGGGTTCACACTCTCAAAATCTTATCTTGACAGGCCCAGAAGAGGGCCCCGGAGCCTGCAGGATTCCCAGTGATTGTAGTTTAAGTGCTTGTCCATCCAGCATTTGGGGAGAGGTGCTGAAGTCTTAACGAGAAAGTGTTTTCATCCCGATTAGCTTTGCTTTTAGTTTCAGCAATTGCTGCAAGTGTAAACGTTGTTCTCAGAGCTCCAGGTAGGATATTCTTCTAGGCTGAACACTGTAAAGAAAAGCTGGAGACTGTATCAGAAAGAGCTTTTTCTTTACGTGATGCAGTCAGTGTACCACTGACAGGTGCATTAGATTTACATGTGTCATCAGTTAAGATTGCAGGTTGTGGTTTAATTTTGTCCAGCTAGAATGTACCCACAGCTGGCCCTCCAGTGGGCTTTCAGAAGCATGGAAGGAGATGGCCTATATTTTTTCTGTGGAGCAGCCTGGTGAATTCAAACTGTGTATCTTAAGAGTGATAAGACACGCTAGTGAGGTGCAGTCATCACTGGATGGTTTTTCCCCATCTCTGTTCAATTGTTTGTCCTTCCTTGGAGCTGCCTGTCTGCGCTGAGTGGCATCCCCCCCCTCCCTGACACACACACACACACACACAACTCCAGCCTTCACTGTGCTGGGCTCTGGCTCCTGGGTCTCAGAAGGGATGTGGAGACTCTGGGCACTCCGTCTGAGTCCCTGCCCGGTTCTCTGTCCACTCAGGCTGTTGGAGAGCCACCCCTCTTCCTCGCTGCCTCCATCTTCTTCGCCATCAAGGATGCCATCCATGCCGCCCGAGCTCAGCGTGCAGATTACACCACCAAACAGCTTTTCCAGCTGGACAGCCCTGCCACCCCGGAGAAGATTCGCAATGCCTGTGTGGACGAGTTTACCAGCCTGGTAAGGCAGCTCTCACAGCCCCTCAGGCTGCAGGAGGGGGGGGGCCAAGTCTGCCTTCTCAATTCAGGGGAGGGTTCTGCAGAGAGAGAAGGAGCCTCCGGGCTCTGTCTCAACTGGAAGCTTTGTATCAATGACCACCCTTCACTACGGGACATGAGACATCCCACTGGATTTGAAAGAGAATAATGAGAACTCTTCCTAAAGCTGCAGCTTACAACCCCTGAGAGGAGGGCAGAGTATGTTCCATTCTTTCTATGTAGATGAGAGTGATGGCTAAAACCCCAAGAGAGAGTAATCTTTCGTGTCAGTCACTAGTATTTTTGAGATCCTTCTTTATTAAACACACTCTATAAAGTGCTCTGCAGATGGAGGGGCTCGGGGGAAGAGGCTGGGTTAATCAGATGAGCCACATTTGTTCTGAGGTGACAGTGTGGCATGCTGATACTGAAGCCAGGAGGTGCCTTTAAGGACTTTGTAACTTTTTAGAAAAACAGACGATTGCTTTACACCATGAGCAATGACTACTTTGGAGGCCCATGTAATGAGAGAGAAGAGAGGAATTCCGTGGTCATCCGAGTCGCTTTGGGAAGTTTGTAGGTGATACGTTCTGTAGACAAATCCTGGCAGAAGGAGCCAGCTGGGCTGCTGAGGGTGCTGGCTGTGCCCACAGTTAGTCCATTGCCTTTGCAACTGCAGCCAGCCCCACCTGACTTAGCATGCACTTTCCTGGTATCCTGACACCTTTTGAGGTCCGTTAGGTCTTTGAGCTTAACAATAAGGTGGGCCCACACGGAACCCTAATGTTCCAGAGATGGTGAGAAAACCAGACGGTCAGGCAGATGTGACATCCCAAAACCTGGGTGCTGAGAGTGGCAGAAGCAGATGGGCCCCAGGAAGACCACCCCTCAGTTTGCCAGCAGATTAGTTGGAGAAAGGAAGGTACACAGATTGTGTGTTGCTCTCCCAGATGTGCATAGCTCTGCAGCAACCTCCTCGCCCTGCAGAACCTTTCCATCACAGCCTCCAGGCTGACAGCAATCCAAACCCCTGTCCCTGAAAGGAGCAGCTCTGCATTGCCACCAATAAGTGTATACAGGTTTCAAGGTTATGTCCTTGCAAACAATCTGATGCAGAGCTCAATCAAATCTTTTGTGAAGTCTCAGACCCAAAAAATTAGGTTCTCAGTCAATTCGGGCTTTATACAACACATAGTGATTTAGGATTCCTGTGGTGATTCACAGGAGACTCATTCTATGACTCCAGAATGCTTTCTTTAGGTGTTATAAGAACCAGATAAAAAGCAGTCACGTCTATGTCCATCACAATTTTCCCAGATCTTAAGATAGTGTCTGCTACATGCAATGTGTTCAAGGGGGTCCTGTTCTGGCTCCCTTTCCCAAGCCTGGAACTGGAGGTCATGGAAATGGAGGCTGGCAGTGGTAGGAGGTGCTGCGTGTACAGGTGGGTGAGAAGCACTGTGGCCCACGCTATGAGAAGACCCTGACAGTGAGTGCTCTGTCCTTCTTTCCTAGTGTATCACGGGTGTGCAGGAAAACTGCAAACCCTGGTCCCTGAGGGTGTGACGAGAATGCCCCCAAAGAGCCTTGCTGTGCCATGCTGGGGCTTCCGTGGAGTCTAAAGCTTGTATGATGGGACCGGAATCTATCCACGCTGCAGAATGACCAAGGTGCGATTCATCAGAGTGGTGTCTGCAAGAACATTGAAGACGTTGACAAATTTTGATCAAAAATAGGATTTGCAAACATAATGCTGTGCAAATGCAGAACTGTTAGGGCCAAGTGGCTGGTCAGAGATCAAGGCCGTTTCATGTATGTTTTAATCATATAGTTGTAATGAGCTTCAGAAGTGTTTGTGCTACACATTAATCCCACTAACTTACAAAGGCTGCCATTGTGATCAAATGCTCCAGACAGTCTGCACAACCTCAATCTCTTACAGTGTCTGTCCTCCAGGGTCCAGATGCCTAAACCAAAGTTATTCTAAATTGGTGCACTTTCATCAGAGGCCTTTTCGTGAAACCTATGAACATCAGATTTACACTCAAATTTTGCAATGGGCAGTGGAGTGAGATTAAAATCTCTCACTTAAAACAGCTCATTGGAAAGAATAAAGAATAAAACAAATTCAAGGTTAATTGACTCTCATTTCATTAAGGTGCATAAAGTAAGATTACTTGATAGAAGAAAAAAAAAATAACCCAACCTACTCACATAATTGGATACTGATCATGTGCTAGTTTTCTTCTCTTTCTATATTTCAAAAATTATACGGTTTCTTTGTGCAACCACTGTGGAAGGTGGTATGGCACTTTCTCAAAAAGTTGCAAATAGAGATACCATTTGACCCATTCCCACTACTGGGAATATACCCCAAAGAGACCATAACTGACATCCAAGAAGATATATGCACACCCATGTTTATAGTGGCTTTGTTCACAATAGCAAGGAGTTGAAAACAACCTAAGTACCCATCAACAAACGAATGGCTAGAGAAGCGGTGGTATAGTCACACAACGGAATATTATGCTACAGTGAAAAACAAGGAACTCATGCAACATTATTCAAAATGGGTGACTCTGGAGGACATTATGCTGAGTGAAATATCTCAGTCACAAAAGAACAAATACTGCATTGTACCACTGTTGTAAAACAGGACTGACATCAGGGTTGGGGGGAGACTGAGAAAGATGGGTTCAATAATGTATACTGCATTGAAACAGATGAGGGAGAAAACTCTTTAAAAGGGATATGTGATTAGGTATTTTTGTCATGACAGGAGTCCAGAGTGAAAGCTGAATAGTGGAGTGGACCTGGGGGTAGAGATTGTAGACAATAAAAGAAATTTTCTTATACTTTTCCAAGAGGAGAGTGTACTAGGGGTGTGGGTTGAGAGGGGAGAAAAATGCAACAATGAATGAATGGAAATCCAAAGTTTCTGTAAATTTTCATTGAAATTAATAATAAATTTTTTTTTAAAAAATGATACGTTATCTAAGAGCCATTCTTTGAAGCTGGTCTAGACTCCCCCTAGAAGCGATGCCGTCAGAATGAGAACCAGCCACTCTCAAGGAGCCAGGCCTCTGGTCTCCACTGATCTCTAACTCTGTGCGTCCTTGGCGCATCACTACCTCTATCTATCTCTCTGTGCCTCCTTTTACTGAACAATGAAGCAATGGGCTGGACGATCTTTAAAGTCTTCAGCAGCTTTTAAAGTTTATAAACATGTGGCCTCAAACAATCCCGTTATGGACGATACCAAAACAGCCTTGGCTACACAGTGCTTAAAGTGTTCCGCTGCTGATCTAAAGTTCAGTTATTCAAACCCATCAGCTGCTTTTCCAGGGTGAAGGGCTGCTTCCATAGACATTCCACCTCAGACACTTCATGGGCAGTCCTCTTCTGTCTGCTGGGGTTGCTAAGTTTGGGAATTGACTTGGTGGTACTATGTTTAACATGTTAGGGGGTTCTGAAACTTTCAAAGCCTTCGTTTTCTCATTTATTATAGCACAACTGGGTGTAATGATCTCTGCTTGGATTGTTTCAAGTTCCTGAGATTGGTAAGGAGTAGAATGGGAGAACCCCCAAGAAACAAAAACAATAACAGCAAGGGAAGAGTACATCGTTCAAAATTAGGAAAAGTGTGCATCAGGGCTCTATACTTTTCCCATCACTATTCAATCTGTATGCTGAGCAAATCGTATGAGAAGTTGGACTATATGAAGAAGGATGTGACATCTACATTGGAAGAAGGTACATCAACAAACTATGTCATGCAGATGATACAGCCTTGTGAAAATGAAGAAGACTTGAAACTCTTGCTGCAGAAGATGAAAGACTACAGTCTTCAACATGGATTACATTTCAACATCATAAAAACAAAAATCCTCACCACCAGACCAATAGGCAACATTGTGATGGAGAAAAGTTTGATGTTGTCAATTATTTTGTTTTACCATATTAACAATCAACACTCATGGTAACAGATGTCATGAAATTTTTAAAAAACATGTTGAATTGAGAAAAATCTGTAAAGTTCCTCTCCAAAGTACTAAAGAGCAAAGATGTCAGTTTAAAGACTAAGGTATGCCTGATCCAAGCTATGATATTTTTAATTCCTTCCTGTGCATCTGAGTTGGATGATAAATAAGCCTAACATGGGAAGAACTAATGCCTTTGAGTTGTGGTGTTGGAGAAGAGTTTTTGTTGTTAAGTGCTATCGAGTCGAGTATGACTCGTAGTGACCCTATCAACAACAAATCTGAAACCTGTTCTATCCTGTGCCATCTTCACACTTTCTGACTCACCAGAGCCCACTGCATCAGTTACCATGTCAATCCACCTGTTTGATGGTCTTCTTCTCCTTCGTTGACCTTCCACCCTTCCCAGCATCATGTCCCTCTCCAGGGAATAGCCCCTCCTAGCAACACATTCAAAGTATGTGAGGCAAAGCCTCATCATTCTTGCCTTCAAAGAGCACTTTAACTGCACGAGGGTGCAAGACATATCTGTTTGTTCTTTTGCCAGTTCATGGGAGGTTCAGTGCTCTTCTCCAACACCACAGCTCAAAGGCATCAAATCTTTTGCCATTCTTAATCACTGCCCAGCTCTCACATGCATAGCAAGTGATCAGAAAGACCATGGCCTGAATCAGAGGCACCTTAGTAAATACTGAATATCCAGTGAACTGCCAAAAAGAACATATATCTGTCTTATCTTAAAGCAAGTGTGACTCTGGTGCTCCTTGGAGGCAAGGGTGATGAGGCTTGGGTTAAGAGACTCGGCTTATATTGTCAGGAGGGATCAATCCTTGAAAAAAAAGACATCATGCCGGGAAAGGTAGAGAGTCAGAGAGAGGAAGCCCCTCAGCGGAATGGATTATCACGATGACAATAGCAGTTGGCTCATGGCACATCAGAAATCATGAGGATGGTGCGGGATAGGGCCAGATTCAGACCTATTGTTCACGGGGTCACTATGAGTTGTATTTGACTCGATTGCCGTCTAAACAACAACAGCCGCTACTTTCACATTATCTGCCCTGCGCTCTGGCGGCATAGTTCACAGGGAGCTGTGTTGCTACGATAAAGGTGGCACCTCTCTTTTAGTTCAAATCCACCAGTGGGTCCTCGGGAGAAAGATGGGCAGTCTCCTACTGTGTCATTTATAACCTTAGAAACCCAATGGCGGGTCAGCCATAAGTCAGTTCTGACTCGACAACAATGACTGAATGACAAAAATGTCCTCAAAGCATGAAGTCTCATGGTGGGTGGATGATGTCACACTGCCACGCATCTTCTCCGTATAAAACACCTGATCTCTGTCAGCTGGGCCCTGGTTCTGTGGAAGGAAGTGGATGGATTGTAGGAAGTGATGGAGTTGAGGTGGGTGCTTGATATCACTAATCATGAAACTGCTAGTGGGTGGATGTGTGAGAAATGGCTATTAATAAGCATAATCACACCAAATGCTGGCACCTGCCATACTTCAGCCAGACTTTTTGGAAAGTACACACACCAAATACACACAATCTCTTCTTCTAGCTAGCACTTGCTCGCTCACTCTCTCTCTGTCTCTCACGTGCACGAGTAAATACATACTACTTTCTTGCAAAATTTCCTTCTTTTTAAAAAGTATTCTAGGCATGCTGGCTATTAGATGGCATGGCTAGGTTGAAGTGCTCTAGAAATCAAACTGGCATGCACAAGGAGATCCAGCCAGACCCATTTCAGATGGTTTTCTGGGCTGTCCTTGGGTAGACCTGACACTTGACACTTGCTGTTAATGAGGCTGTAAAGGGTGAGTTCACAGGGTCACTATGAGTCCTAGTTGTCTCGACATCACGTAATGTCAACAACCACAAAAGCTGAGGAGTGGCTTCTCTTCTACACTTTAGAAATTGACGTAAGAACAGAAAGGCCACAGAAATCAAAGTAACCAAAAAATTGTGAACTATAAATAATTGTTGGACACCTCAGACACCTTGCCTTGCCCCATCGTCTTACTTTGCAAGGTTCTTCCAGTCCGTAAAAGGAAGCTCCACGTTGCAGGAGAGCAGTCGTCCACTCCAACTGCAGCGTGGCACTGAGTCCTGAAGAGGGCGACAGGAGATTGAACATGAGATGCTCTCCCTCCCCCAGCGGCATCGCAGCTATAGTCCGCTGTTCAGATTCTTGATTTAACAACTCAAAGCAGACCAAGAGGCTCCAGGTTTTTCCCCCGAGACCTGAGTTCACTGCTGATTTAGGGTTTCAGGCTGACAAAAATGTCCCCAATGCAGCTCTCTGAAGATGCAGTTTAGCCTTTGTCTGAGATAACGCAAACGACTGGCTCAGGGAAGACAGTCCTTACTTTCTGAGCATCTGCAAGTCATCAACCACCACTGAGTCGATCCTCACAGATGGTGGCCCCACGTGTTGCAGAGCTGAACGGCTCTGTGAGATTTTCTTGGTTATAATATTAACCAAGCCGACTGCAAAACGAGCGGACTACTCTGCCTTTTCTTCTGTGATAAATGGGCTCCAATAACCAATCTTAAGGGCTAGGAGTCTGGTGACAAATTTAGC